AGGAGAGATAGGGTTTCACCATGTTGACCAGGCTGGTCTCGAACTCCTGACCTTACGTGATCTGCCTGCCTCAGCCTCCCAAAGTGCTGGGATTATAGGCATGATCTACCCCGCCTGACCCATCTCCAGGATTCTTTTCATCTATTTAAAGTAAAACTCTCTGCCCATTAAGCAATAACTCCCCATCATGCAGCCTCTGACAATCACCATTCTGCTTTCTGTCTCTATGAATTTGACTACTCTAGGAACCTCAAATAAGTGAAATCAGAGTATTTTATCTTTTTGTGACTGGCTTATTCCACTTAGCATAATGGCCTCAAAGATCACCCATGTTCTGTGTAGCATGTGTCAAAATTTCCCTCCTTTTTAAGACTGAATAAACTGGGCATGGTGGCATGTGCCTGTAGTCCCAGCTACTTGGGGGGCTGAAGTAGGAGGATCCCTTGCATCCAGGAGTTCAAAGCTGCAATGAGCTATGATCGCACCATTGCACTCCAGCTTGGGCAGCAGAGTGAGACCCTGTCTCTAACCAGATAGATAGATAGACAGACAGAAAATAATATTCCATTGTATGTATATATGCCACATTTTTATTTGGTTTGTGATATATACCTACATTTTACTTATCCATTCATCTCTCAATGGACACTTGAGTTGCTTCTACCTTTTGTGAATAATGTGGCCGTGAACATTGGTTTACAAATATCTGTTCAGGTCTGTGCTTTCTGTTCTTTTGGGTATATACCCAAAATGGCATTGCTGAATTATGTGGTAATTCTGTGTTTAATTTATTGAAGAAACATGTTATTGTTTTTCCATAGCAGCTGTACCATTTTACATGCCCACCAGCAGTGTATAAAGGTTCCAGTTTTTCCACATCCTTGTCAACACTTGTTATTTTCTGTGTGTGTGTGTGTGTGTGTGTGTGTGTGTGTGTGTATCTATATATATATGAGATAGCATCCTAATGGGTATGAAATGGTATCTCATTGTGGTTTTGATTTGCATTTCCCTAATCATTAGTGATGTTGAGCTATTTTCATGTGGTTATTGGCTATTTATATATCTTCTTTGGAAAGATATCTCTTCAAACCTTTTGCCCATTTTTAATTGGATTATTTGTTTTTGGTGGTCAGTTTTAGGGATTCTTTATATATTCTGGATATTAATCCCTTTTAAGATATATGACTTGCAAATACCTTATCCCATTCTGTGGGTTGCCTTTTCACTCTATTGTTCTTTGATGCATACATGTTTTTTATTTTGATAAGGTTCAGTGTGTCTGTTTTTTTCTTTTGTTGCCTATGCTTTTGGCATCATATTTTAAAAAATCATTGAGGTCGGGGGTGGGGATTGCCTGAGCTCAGGAGTTCGAGACCAGCCTGAGCAACACTGTAAAACCCCGTCTCTACTAAAATACAAAAGACTAGCTGGGTGTGGCGGTGTGCGCCTATAGTCCCAGCTACTTGGGAGGCTGAGGCAAGAGAATTGCTTGAACCCAGTAAGCAGAGGTTGCAGTGAGTCAAGATCGCGCCACTACACTCCAGCCTGGGCAACAGAGCAAGACTCTGTCTCCAAAAAAATCATTGCCAAATCCAGCGTCATAAAGTGTTTACCCTATGTTTTCTTTTAAAGTTTCATAGGTTTAGGTCTTTGATCCATTTAATTTTTTCTGTGTATTATATAAGGTGAGATTTCAACTTCATTCTTTTGCATATGGATATCCAATTTTTCCAGCAACATTTGTTGAAAAACTGTCCTTTCCTCCACTGAGTGGTTTTGGCATCCTTGTTGAAAATTATTTAATCATGTACGTGAAGGTTTATTTCTGGTTTTTCTAGTCTCGAACTCATTTTTTAAAAAACTTCTAAGTGCAAGGGTACATGGGCAGATTTGTTACATAGGTAAACTCGTGTCATGGGGGTTTGTTTTACAAATTGTTTCACTACCCAGGTACTAAGCCTAGTACCCAATAGTTATTTTTTCTAATCCTCTCCTTCCTCCTACCTTCTGCCTTCAAGTAGGCCTCAGTGTCTGTTGTTCCCCTCTTTGTGTCCATGAGTGCCCATCATTTAGCTCCCACTTACTAGTGAGAACATGCAGTATTTGGTTTTCTGTTCCTGTATTAGTTTGTTAAGGATAATGGCCACCAGTTCCATCCATGTTCCTGCAGAAGACATCATTCTTTTTTGTGGCTGCATAGTATTTCATGGTATATATGTACCACATTTTCTTTATTCAACTTGTCATTAATGAGTATTTAGGTTGATTCCATGTCTTTGCTAGTATAAATAGTGCTTCAATGAATATACGCGTGCATGTGTGCATGTGTCTTTTTTTTTTTTTTTTAAGACAGTCTTGCTCTGTTGCCCAGGCTGCAGTGCACTGGCACAATCTTGACTCACTGCAACCTTCGCCTCACAGTTTCAAGCAATTCTCGTGCCTCAGCCTCCTGAACAGCTGGGATTACAGGCACACACCACCAGGCCTGGTTAATTTTTGTATTTTTAGTAGAGACAGGGTTTCGCCATTTTGGCACCACCCACTTTAGCCTCCCAAAGTGCTGGGATTACAGGCATGAGCCACCACTCCTGCCTATTCATCTTTATAGTAGAATGATTTATATACCTTTGGGTATATGCCCAGTAATGGGATTGCTGGGTTGAATGGTAGTTCTGTTTTTAGCTCTTTGAGGAATCGCCACACTGCTTTCCACAGTGGCTGAACTAATTTATACTCCCACCAGCAGTGTGTAAGTGTTCCTTTTTTCCATAACCTCACCAGCATCTGTTATTTTTTGACTTTTTAAATAATAGCCATTCTCAGCTAGGCATGATGGCTCACTCCTATAATGATAGCACTTTGGGAGGCCAAGGCGGGAGGATCACTTGAACCCAGGAGTTCAAGACCAGCCTAAGCAACATGATGAAACCCCTTATCTACCAAAACAAAAACAAAAATTAGCCAGGCATGGTGGTGCACCCCTATAGTCCCATCTATTCAGGAGTCTGGAGCAGGAAGATTGCTTGAGCCCAGGAGGTCAACACTGCAATGAACTGTGATTGTTTCACTGCACTCCAGCCTGGGTAACAGAACAAGACCCTATCTCAAAAAAAAAAAAAAAAAGACCACTCTGATTGGTGTGAAATGGTATCTCATTGTGATTTTGATTTGCATTTCTCTAATGATATTGAGTGTTTTTTCACATACTTGGCGAACTTTATTTTTTTTTTTTCTTGTTTTTTGTTTTGTTTTGATTCAGAGTCTTGCTCTGTCACCAGGCTGGAGTGCAGCGGCGCCATCTCGGCTCACTGCAAGCTCCGCCTCCCGGGTTCAAGCAATTCTCCTGCCTCAGTCTCCCGAGTAGCTGGGACTACAGGCGCATGCCACCACACCCAGCTAATTTTTTGTATTATTTTAATAGAGATGGAGTTTCACCGTGTTAACCAGGATGGTCTCGATCTCCTGACCTCATGATCCACCCACCTCAGCCTCCCAAAGTGCTGGGATTACAGGCATGAGCCATGACACCTGGCCGGCGAACTTTATTTTTAATGAGTGTTATTAATCTATAATATGGATACATCAGAGTGCATTCAAACATTCCCCTGTTGATGGATATATCGATTGTATCCAGGCGTTTGTCACTACAGGCAGTGCTGCAGTAAACATCTTAAAATACATAGTCTTACATCCTGGTGCTTTTATTTTCTCATGATGTATTCATAAAAGTGGAATTGCTAGATCAAGTGGTTTGTTTAGTTTTGTTCTTTTTTTTTTTTTTTTTTGAGGCAGAGTCACACTCTGTCGCCCCAGTTGTAGTGCAGTGGTGCGATCTTGGCTCACTTAGCCTCCGCCTCCTGGGTTCAAGCAATTCTCCTGCATCAGCCTTCCCAGTAGCTGGGACTTCAGGCATGTACCACCATGCTTGGCTATATTTTTTTTCTCTACATTTTTAGTAGAGATGGGGTTAGGTTTCACCATGTTGGCCAGGCTGGTCTCAAACTCCTGACCTCAAGTGATCCACCTACCTTCACCTCCCAAAGTGCTTGGATTACATGCATGAGCCACCACACCTGGCCTGAAACCTTTTTAATGTTCGCTAACAGGATCAGTTAAAATTTAGAGGCCTTTGTCAGTCAGTACTTAACAGTGAAAAGTGAAAGGATACTGATAAATATTTCCTATGTATTTGACAGAAACTTACTTCTTGATTTAAAAAAAGTCTCTGTCCTGGCCGAGCGCGGTGGCTCACACCTGTAATCCCAGCACTTTGGGAGGCCGAGGTGGACAGATCATGAGGTCAGGAGATCAAGACCATCCTGGCTAACACAGTGAAACCCCGTCTCTACTAAAAATACAAAAAATTCGCCGGGTGTGGTGGCGGGCACCTGTAGTCCCAGCTACTTGGGAGGCTGAGGAGGCGGAGCTTGCAGTGAGCCGAGATCGCGCCACTGCACTCCAGCCTACGCAACAGAGCAAGACTCTGTCTCAAAAAAAATAAATTTTTTTTTAAATCTCTGTCCTAGACCTGGTGCGGCGGCTCACACCTATAATAATACCAGTACTTTGGGAGGTGGGTGGATCACTGGAGGCCAGGAGTTCAAGACCAGCCTGGCCAACATGGTGAAACCCCATCTCTACTAAAAATACAAAACAATTAGCCAGGTGTGGTGGTGGGTGCCTGTAACCCCAGCTGTTTGAGAGATTGAGGCATGAGCATTGCTTGAACCTGGGAGGCAGAGGTTACAGTGAGCCAAGATCACGCCACTGCACTCCAGCCCGGGTGACAAGAGCAAAACTCCCATCTCAAAAAAAAAAAAAAAAAAAACCTCTCTTCTTTCATAACATGAAAAATGTAAGTGCGAAAGATAGTCATTTCTATGCAGAGTTAAAAGGCAAATTAACATTTTGAAACAATCAGGTTTTAAGTGTTTTTCTGGCTTTCAACCATTTTCTTGAAGTAAGGAAACTAGCCAATGGTTTCTGATTTTTCTTAGCTTAATGCAGATACCGAAAGAGAAGAAGGAGAAGAGTTTGAAGATAACATGGATGTTTTTGATGACAGCAGTTCCAGCCCTTCTGGCACCTTAAGAAATTATCCACTCACCTGCAAAGTTGTTTATTCCTACAAGGTTTGTTTTTCTCCAACATACTGTTATTTAATTCTGATTAACTCTGAAGATACACATGACTGTATCCATCCAGTCTCTCAAGCTGTACTTAGCATAAAATTGTTATTAGGTTAATATTGGGGCAACATAGCAGAATGGTGATGAGTTTAGGCTCTGACTTGACGTCTTTCACTTGCTACTCCGTCTGCCTAGAACTCTTTTTTTCCCCAGATCTCAGTTGGTTGCCCCCTGCTCCTCACCGAAGCTCAGCTCAAATAGTTCCTCCTTAAGGTCACCCATAACCACCTAAATAAATAACCAACTCCTCAGTCACTACTTGTTATCCCATTGCCTCTTTTATTTATTACATAGCACTTCTGCCAAGCAAAACTTAATCTTATTTATTTTCATATTTCTTTGACTCTCCACTAAAGGTCCATGAAGGCAGAAATTTTGTCTGTGTATGTGTACCTTGTCTGTGTGTCTTCAGCCCCAAGGACGATGGCCAGCCATAGTGGGTCATCAGTAAATAATTGTGGGATGAATACATGAATGTTGGAAGGGAGGCGTGAATACATGAATCTTCTCTTGCCCCGTTCTGGCGGAGGCATGTGTGAGAAGGGGCAATGCAGAAGGCTGTCAGAAGGGAAGGTCCTGGAGAGAGAATCCACCTATCATGCACCAGATGCACTCCCACCACCACATCCCTGTGTAGCCAAAAGGTGGCAGTGTTTACTCCTCAATATCAGTGATTCCCAGACTTGTTTTGAGTTTAACATCCTTTCATTTTATATTTAAATTCATAATACTTCCTGTTCATTGAAAGTGTTAGCATTTTTTTTCCAATATAAATCGTTTTGATAATCTTTTGAAAATTTAAAATCATCTTCTCAGATACTTGGAAAGGTATTACAGGGTATTATAAAACTAGCGTTGGAATTGTTTCCTGATACCACCTCCATTATGTTTACTTGAACGTCCCAGAACTAAAATTTAAGGTCCTTTATTAAATAGAGAGATTCCTAAGTGTCCGAGTGATTTTAAACAGTTCACATTCATTCAACATTCCCGCTGTTGGCATATCCCAGGCACATCCCTGGGTTAAATAGACTATGAACATCTATTTAGTCAGTTAATCATTGAATAAACATATAGAGTACCCAATGTGTGATACACTGAGGGGATGCCAGAATGAATATGACACTATCTCTCCCCTCTAGGAATGGACAATCTACGAAGGGATAAATATTAAAATGGAAAATAGAACAAGTGTGAAAAGATTTATAGTAAAGGTAGAGCCACTAATTCTATCTGTGATCGTTGGGGGAAATTTTACAGATGAGGTGGCATTTAAATTAGGTCATGATTTAAGACCTTTCTAGATGCAGTGAGAAGGCAGGGAGAGGAAAGAGCCTTCTAAGCAAAGAGAAGAGCAGGTATAGAGGTAGAGTGTGATGAGAGTGTGTGGTGTTCAGGAAATGTTAAATTCGATGGTGTAGAAGCATCTGCAGGAGAACAGAGGGGCTGTGCATAAAGGTGTTTGTTGTCAGATAGTAAAGGACCTTGTATACCAGACTTAGAGGTTTGGTTTTTATCTTGGCTAGGAAAATCCTTAGATGGCCTGAAATCCGATTGGATTTTTAAGAAGGTAACCTGGTCATGGTATAGATATTCTAGGGGACAGATTAGGATACAGAAGGACTGACTTTAAGCCTAATGATAATTATTGTAGTCCAGACCAAAAAGGAGGCCTCGAATAATCTGGGGAAAACAAAGAAAGCTATATTTAATGGTTATATAGCTTACAGTTGGTTAGAGTTGGCCAGGCACAGTGGCTCACGCCTGTAATCCCAACACTTTGGGAAAATGAGGCAGGTGGATCACTGAGGTTAGGAGTTCGAGACTGGTCTGACCAACATGGTGAAACCCCGTCTCTACTAAAAATACAAAACTTAGCTGGGCGTGGTGACGGGCACCTGTAATTCAGCTACTAGGGAGGCTGAGGCAGGAGAATCACTTGAACCCAGGAGGAGGAGGTTGCAGTGAGCTGAGATGGCACCATTGCACTCCAGCCTGGGTGACAGAAAAAATAATAATAATAAACGTTAGAGTCAAAGCCTTAAGAATGTTCACAACTTTTGACCCTATTAGCATCCATCCTAAAGAAATAAATCATAATATAGAAACATTTTGGACACAAAAATGTCCTTTCATATAGTACTGCTTTGTAATATATGGCACTTCTGTCCAGCCAAACTTAATCTTAGTTTTTGTGTTTCTTTGTCTGACTCCCCACTAAAGGCCCATGAAGGGAGAAGTTTTGTCTCTGTATGTTTACCTTGTCTGTGTGTCTTCAGCCCCTAGGACAATGCCCAGCATGTAGTAGGTCATTAGTAAATATTTGTGGAATGAATACTTGAATGATAGAAGGAAGGCATGAACAAATGAATCCTTCTCTTGCCCTCATTCTGTTAGAGACATCAGTGAGGATAATGGAGCTCATGACTAGACGCAATGGCTCATGCCTGTAATCCCAACACTTTGTGGGACGAAAGTGGGAAGATCACTTGAAGCCAGGAGTTCGAGACCAGCCTGGGCAACAAAGCAAAACCTGGTCTCTACAAAAAAATTTTAAAATTAGCTAGGCATGGTGGCACATGCCTATAGTCCTAGCTATTTGGGAGGCTGAGGCAGGAGGATCACTGGAGCCCAGGAGATCGAGGCTGCAGTGAGCCATGATTATACCACTGCACTCCAGCCTGGGTGACAGAGTGAGACCCTGCCTCTAAAAAATAAATTTAAAAAAAAATTAAAATTGGCAGTTCAATGAGAATAATTAAACTAGACATTCATATACTACAGCCATAACGTATCATATTATAAAGATTATTGAAATTTACATTAGAGTTTTTCTGTATAAGAAGAAACCCTTTGTAGGGTCCAGCCCCACAGGGTCGGTGGGTTTTTCTCCCCGTGTGTGGAGACGAGAGACTGTAGGAATAAAGACACAAGACAAAGAGATAAAAGAAAAAACAGCTGGGCCTGGGGGACCACTACCACCAAGACGTGGAGACTGGTAGTGGCCCCGAATGCCAGACTGCACTGATATTTATTGGATACAAGACAAAGGGGCAGGGTAAGGAGTGTGAGCCACCTCCAATGATAGGTCACATAGGTCACATGTCCACTGGACAGGGGGCCCTTCCCTGCCTGGCAGCTGAGGCAGAGAGAAAGAGAGGAGAGAGAGAGACAGCTTAAGCCATTATTTCTGCATATCAGAGACTTTTAGTACTTTCACTAATTTGCTACTGTTATCTAAAAGGCAGAGCCAGGTGTACAGGATGGAACATGAAGGCAGACTAGGAGCATGACTACTGAAGCACAGCATCACAGGGAGACGGGTAGGCCTCTGGATAACTGCAGACGGGCCTGACTGATGTCAGGCCCGCCACAAGAGGTGGAGGAGTAAAGTCTTCTCTGAACTCCTCTGGGCAAAGGCAGACTCCCTTTCCTGGTCTGCTAAGTAGCGGGTGTTTTTCCTTGACACTGACGCTACCGCTAGACCACTGTCCACTTGGCAACGGGCATCTTCCCAGACGCTGGCATTACCGCTAGACCAAGGAGCCCTCTGGTGGCCCTGTCCGGGCTTGACAGAAGGCTCGCACTCTTGTCTTCTGGTCACTTCTCACTATGTCCCCTCAGCTCCTATCTCTGTATGGCCTGCTTTTTCCTAGGTTATAATTGTAGAGCAAGGATTATTATAATATTGGAGTAAAGAGTAATTGCTACAAACTAATGATTAATGATATTCATATATAATCATATCTATTATCTATACCTAGTATAACTATTCTTATTTTATATATTTTATTATACTGGAACAGCTCGTGCCCTCGATCTCTTGCCTCGGCACCTGGGTGGCTTGCTGCCTATACCCTTATGTCCTAATAATAAATTAAAAGGTAGGATACCAAATTGTATGTACCGTAAGATCTCAATTATACCTATTTTCCAGCTTTTCTACAATGAACATGTATGATATGATCAGGAAAAACATTGTTTTAAAAGAAATACAGGAAATTTGGAGAGATACTGGTAGAAACAGAGCTCTGGTTGTCACCGGATACTAGGACTTAAGGAGACAGTATGAGAGTATGTGTGTATTTAATAACTATTTACTGCTCACTGTCTTTAGTTGGGGTAAGTGAGAAGAAATATAGTCCCTGTCTAATTGTTTCTAGTAGGACGCTCACAAAGACAAATTCATTAGAGCATCATGGTAGTCAGTGTTATGGGGACGCTCAGAGCCTTTTAAGAATAAAAGGAGGGCCGGGCGCAGTGGCTCATGCCTGTAATCCCAGCACTTTGGGAGGCCAGCGTGGGCGGATCGCAAGGTCAGGAGTTCGAGACCAGCCTAACCAACACGGTGAAACCCCATCTCTACTAAAAATAGAAAAAATTAGCCAGGCATGGTAGCATTCACCTGTATTCCCAGCTACTTGGGAGGCTGAGGCAGGAGAATTGCTTGAACCCAGGAGGAGGTTGCAGTGAGCCGAGATGGCACCACTGCACTCCAGCCTGGGCAACACTGTGAGACTCTGTCTCAAAAAAAAAAAAAAAAAAAAAGAACAAAAGGAGGAGCAGCTTACTCATCATGAGTAGTCTGGGAAAACATATGCGCTCAGTCTCAAATCAAAATAATCATAACTACTATCTATCTATCCATTTATTTATTTGTAATCCCTTCAGTAACCCTATGAGGAAGATATTATCAAGCACCCCATTCATTCAACAAACAGTGCTTGAGCACTTTCCGTGTATCAGTGCTGTGGGCTTTTCTAGGCTCTGGGATATAGCATTGATCAAAATAGACAAAAATCTCTGCCCTCATGGAGCTTATATTCTAACAGGAAAAAAGAAAACTGAGGTTCAAAGGTATCTTACAGTCACTTGCCCATAAAAACATACTGAAGCCGGACTTAAACCCACAGTAATCTGAGTCTGCTCATCAGATAGGAAAGAGGGAACAGAGCCTGCTGGATGGAAGAACACTTGATAAAAGCACAGAGGCAAGGAAGAACATGGTATGCTCAGAGAATAGGAATAGTGTGCAGGGACCAAAGTGTCTAGAGGCCCACTTTGGCCCACAGGGACCAAACTGCAGGGTCGTGATTGCCACACAAACAACTTCCACCTTGTTAGGTGGAAGAATTGGTCATCACTGCTTTAGGATGGGATGATCAAGCTAGTGTCTGCTTACATTGGACAACTAGTGCTGCAGTGTTGAAAAACTTGCACTGACCTCCATGGCCCTTTTTTTTTTTTTTTTTTTTTTTTTTTTTGAGACAGGGTCTTGCTCTGTTGCCCAGGCTAGAGTGCAGTGGTGTGATCTTGGCTCACTGCAACCTCTGCCTCCCTGATTCAAGTGATCCTCCCACCTCAGCCTCCCAAATAGCTGGGATTACAGGCGCGTGCCGCAACACCCACCTAATTTTTTGTATTTTTCATAGAGACAGGGTTTTTCCATGTTGCCCAGGCCGGTCTCAAACTCCTGGCCTCAAGTGATCCACCCACCTTGGCCTCCCAAAGTGCTGGGATTACAGGCGTGAGCCACCTCACTCAGCCTCTCCATAGGTTTTTATAAGGGCAGCAGTTTATTTGAAAGTGTACTACCTCCCTAGTTTGCTATCACATACATTAACGTCTGGTTGTGTTGATACTTTTTAGGTCTTGCCATGGAAAACATTTTTATTACAAAAGTGCCTTTTGCTGGCATATCCAAGGCATAGTGTAGTTTCAGAGTAGTGAAGGAATTCCATTGGAAAAGCTATCAAGGGTAAATGAGTGGGGTTTTTTCCTTGTTTTGAGATAAGAGTTAATTTAAAATCTGGCCTTCGAGTATTCTGTGACTGGTCAGCCATCCTCAATATTATTTTTCTGTCTCAGGGAGCTATGGCAACATCCAGAATCTGGATTTTGATGAAATATTTTAATGTTAATAAAATGGGAAATTGATCTTGAAAATGACCCCCTTTTTTTGCCTTATTTTTGTGTAACTTGGAGTTAATTTTACACTTTGAGATTGTGAGATTTTAAAAACTTTATGGTTTTAAGTGATGGTTCTAACCCATCTTGGGACTTGAGAAAAGCTTTTAAGACTGTTTTCTAGAGAGCCAGAAGACAGCAAGCCTCTGCCTATTACACGTGACAGGCAAGGCTGTTAGGAAGCAAAGCCACATGGACTTTCCAGCCCCTCTGTGGAGCCTCAGAGCATTTACAGATTTGGCAGTCTCAAGGGCAACATGTGGGTGGCTGATGCTGGTGGACTGCTATTGTCAGGGATAAAAAAGAAAACCATTATGGTTAGCAGCTTGTGCAGTAGCATGCAAGTGGATCAGCTCAGTCTCCACACAGTTAAGTTGGAGCATAAGAAATCCAAACCATGACTGATCTCAATCATTTCCTTTCCTACAATTTTCTTCTTTTAGCCACTGCTTTACAGTGTTTCCAGATCAATCCTAGGCACTGCACCCACTGTCATCAAATTCATGTACATAGTTCTTTGCATTTTCACAGCATGCTTGTCCATGGGAGCCCTCTGGTAGCAGTTCCAACTCAGTGCCTTCTCCTTTGCTTTTGCTTCCCAAATCATCACACTTCTGTGCTTATTCATCCCACATTGACTCACATCCTCCAGAAAATGGCAGGATTGTCATTTCAAAGAAATGGAGGCATCAAGTTGAATAACTTGATACAAAAGCTGGAGTTGGAACCCAGGTCCTCTACTTCCAGGAAGTGCTCTCTTTTTTTGTTTGTTTGTTTTTTTAGAGACAGGGTCTCGCTCTGTTGCCCAGGCTGGAGTGCAGTGGCATGCTTATGGCTCACTGCAGCCTCAACCTCCCAGGCTCAAGCGATCCTCCCACCTCAGCCTCCCGAGTAGCTGTGACGACAGGCACATTCCACCATGTCTGACTAATTTTATTTATTTATTTATTTATTTATTTATTTATTTATTTATTTATTGGTAGAGGTGGGGATCTCGCTGTGTTGCCCAGGCTCACATGTTCTGTTCATTGAACCTCATTGCCTCTTGAGGATTCAGTTTCTTCGGTTTTTGTTACGGTTTTATTCTGTTTAGTTTTTTAAAGTAAAACTTCACCTCATTATGAAGGTTTTACAGCATTTAAATTTTTATGTTCAACATGTTTCTCAATATCATTTCAATATTTTGATCCCCAGTTTTTGTCATGATCAGCTCACATCTGCTCCTTATCTAACCTTTTTAATTTTGTCCATGACCATCCTACATTGCAGGCTTCTCAACCAGATGAGTTGACCATTGAGGAACATGAGGTGTTAGAAGTGATTGAAGATGGAGATATGGAAGACTGGGTAAAGGTATATTCCTTTGCTCATATCGCCCCTTGTGACATTTTTAGGAGTTCGTTTTGGTCTTTGTTGTGCCCTGTCTAAATTGTGTGTGTGTAAACTTGTTTTGTCACATGTCTTTTACCCAGGCTCGAAATAAAGTTGGCCAAGTGGGTTATGTGCCAGAAAAGTACCTACAGTTTCCCACCTCAAACAGCCTCCTGAGCATGCTGCAGTCCCTGGCCACTTTGGACAGTCGGTCACACACGTCCAGCAATTCCACGGAAGCAGAACTCATTTCAGGCAGCCTCAACGGAGATGCCAGTGGTAAAGACTGAAACAAGGCACTCTTTATTTGGTCACATTTGACCTAAACTGTATTGCCCTGGAGTAAGCCTTCACTAGGATAAAAAGCACAACTTTCCCCCTGTCCTATAATATGCTCTTCTTTATATGGTCACATTTGTCCTGCACAGTAGAACCCTAAAATTAATCATCAGTGAGTAAAAAAATTACAACTTTAATCCTATTCTGTATGATGCTGTTTTAGTTGTCATGTGAGCATAGGGGTGGTTGCAGAAGCAACCGGCTGTTAATTATCTTACCAGATTTGTTTTTCTCTTGCTCCCTAGTCTGTTTTGTGAAAGCACTTTATGATTATGAGGGCCAGACAGATGATGAGTTATCTTTTCCTGAGGGAGCAATAATCCGTATCTTGAACAAAGAAAACCAAGACGACGATGGCTTCTGGGAAGGGGAATTCAATGGGCGTATTGGAGTTTTCCCATCCGTGCTAGTGGAAGAACTTTCAGCCTCAGAAAATGGTGACACTCCATGGATGAGAGAGATTCAGGTACCTAAGAGGGGAGCTGGTTGAATTAAAAGATGTTTAAAGAAAATTGCTCCCAAGGGGTCTGTGAATTCACACAAAAGTGGGCTGCAGTCTCTGCCTTACCCTCACCGGTCCTTGGTTGCCAGTGTCTGCACAACTGAATTTGGGAAACCAGAGACTTCTCAGTCAGTCCCTTGTGGAATATGGCCATCCTCCCACACCTCCATCTTCCCACATTCTCTTCCCTGAATCGGTTAACCAAAATGCCAAATTATATGTGACATATCAAAGATCATTTAGGTGGAGAAAAACAAACCGAAGAGGGAAGGCATTGCTCTGTGGTTAATTTACGTAGTAAAACTCTTAGCTGGCTCTCTCTCTCCCTCACTGTCAGAGCCTCCTTGCCTAGTCCAGGTCCTGCCAATCTATTTCAGAGAACTAATGAGCCTGCCAGAGCCCCCAATCCCCACTCAAGTGATCCTAGACTTAGTTTATCACGGGGAAACAGCCTTTAAAGGAACCTCTAATTCAGTCAGAGTTCAGCTTGTCCCCTCAGGGATCTATCATTGCAGGCCAGACAGGTAGAGGAAGAAGGAACATGTTTGCCAATTTTGTTTGCATGGTGATTGTGACCCTTAGCCTAACATGCACAAAACCTGGGGAAGTCAGAAATTCATCAAGGTATTTTATCTTCACCCCAAAAAATCCAATTTGTTCCTTTTGTTGTTGGTGTTCTTTGCTAAGTTTACTGAATTGACTAATTTGGTACATTTTCAATAGAACCCTAGAGAGTGGCTTCACTTGATAACTGTTTAAGACAAACTAAAATCAGTAATGTGATGAGATCTGTAAGAGGAAAAAGTGAAGTGCAATGCAAAATTGGGGCTTGAGGTGGTTATTTAATGCTCAGTTGCTTCTAATGAGGTTGACAAGTTTCAGTAGTCAGCTTAGCTTCAGAGAAAAGGGATGTATACAGAGCAGTCAAAGAAGCAGCCAGGCTGTCCTTCCTGGGCAGAAGCACCAGGTAACCTCACTTCCCTTTGCTGCAGATCTCTCCTTCCCCCAAGCCACACGCCTCCCTGCCTCCACTGCCGTTGTATGACCAGCCTCCCAGCAGCCCCTACCCCAGCCCAGATAAGAGGAGCTCCCTGTACTTTCCCCGGTCTCCTTCAGCAAACGGTAAGGGTTCTCCTGGGCATGGATCTAAATGCATTTTCACTTCAGAAATCTACATATTCGCCTGAAGGGCAAACAAAACTGCATTTGCTTTTTTTTATTTTTTTGGAGACAGAGTCTCACTCTGTCACCCAGGCTGGACACCCAGGCTGGAGTTCAGTGGCATGAGTTCAGGCTGGACACCCAGGCTGGAGTTCAGTAGGCTCACAGCTTAACCAAGTGGCTCAAGTGATAACTAACTCCTAGGCTCAAGTGATCCTCTGCCTCAGCCTCCCTAGTAGCTAGGAGTACAGGCATGCACTACCACACACAGCTAATTTTTGTATTTTTTGTGGAGAAAGGGTATTATTCTGTCACCCAGCCTGGAGTGCAGTGGCGGGATCATAGCTCACTGCAGCCTTGAACTCCTGGCCTCAAGTAATCCTCCTGCCTCTATCCCAAAGTGCTGGGATTACAGGCTCGAACCACCATGCCAGCCTTGCATCAGCATTTTTATTCAACAACTCAAGTAAAATGAGCTTCTTTGGTTTTCTCCCGTAGAAAACAGCCTTCATGCTGAGTCACCAGGATTCTCTCAGGCATCAAGGCATACGCCTGAGACCTCACATGGCAAACTGCGACCTGTAAGTCTCTTATCTTGCAGGATTATAGAATGCATAATTCTTCCAAATTGAAAGGAAGGAATTAATGTTTCCCCGTGGCCTCTATATTGTCACTGACTCTGCCAAACAAGGATGAACTGGGTTTGGGAGGGTAAAAAGAGCTATTGAAAAGGAAGGCCATAGAAATCAACTCATCTTGGAACATTTAATCTACACTGGAACTTTTTTCACTGAGCCACAGTGAGATTGCAAGATGATGGCTATGAAAGTGTATTTAGATTAGAACAAGCTTCATGAGCATTAAAGTGGGCTAATTGTGAAACACTTTCTTCAGTAAACATTTAATTTTCCAGGCCTCTGTTTGCCTCTTTGAGGAATACTGAGATGAAATAATAAGCTAACTTCATAGCCTTAAAGAGCGTTTATTCTCCGGGTTGAATATATTATAGCAAAGTTACCTCTCTCTTCACCCTTCACTCTACTGCCATCTGCATTCCACCCACCACTGTACTCCAAGATCATGACTTGCACATTGGTAATCCAGTTGGATACTTTGCAATTTTATTTTCCTTGACCCCATTAGCTTTTGATACCATTCCTTTACCACTGGCTTCCTTTGGCTTCATTCATTCAGCAAATATGTATTGAGTGCCTTCTTAAGGACTTGAGTCTTTATCCCAAATGAGATAGGAAGCCATTGTAAAGTGGTAAGCTGGACAGTCTTGTGGCTGGTGCATTTTTATAGCATCGCTATGGCAGCTAAGTGGAGGATGGATGGAGGCTGGCAGAAAGGACCTAGAGAGCAATTAGGAGACCGGGGCAGCATTGAAGAAAGAGGTGGTGGCAGCATGGACTGGTGGGTAAGAGTAGGAACAGAGAGCAGTGGACTGATGTGCTTCTCTACCACATTTGCCTCGTTTGCTTTCTTCCTCTCTGGTCCTACCTTTCTGTGGACCTTTGCAGCCTTGCCTCCACCTGTCTCTGCTGATACTTCTCATTGTTCTGTCCCTGGGCTGCTTCTCTTGAAGTTGTTGAAAGCACTCTTACCAAATGACCTCATCTACTTCCACAGCTATGATAACCATTTATATACCAGCAAGTTTCAGATTTGTAACTGCCAATCCGATCTCTTCACTGAGCTTCAGATTTGTGGATGTCTCCGTTTATATGTCCCAGATCCCCAAAACTCAGCAAAAATGAGTTGTGTTCCCTCCCAGACATGTTCCTTTTTCCATATTGCCTATCTTGGTAAATGGAACCCCCATCCTACTGGTGTTCTGGCATCATTCTTAATACCTCCCACCCCTGCCTCCCACAGTCATTCCCAAATCCTGCCAGATATACCTTGCAGACAGCGCGCACATCTTTACACTTCTCTACTTCCCCTACTGCCAGTACCCTCGTTTGGGCTATTGTCAACTCTCATTCAGAGGACTACAAAAGTCTCCTAAGTTGCCTTCTTACCTGGACTCTTGCTTGCCTCTGATCTTTTCTCTAATTGTTACCTGAGTCATCTTTTCACAGATCTGATATTGCTTAAAATCCATCAAAAACTCTTTTGCCTACAGAATAAAGCACAGATTTTTTTCTTCTTAAAGCAGATGTTTAAACATGGTTTAACAAGGCCCTTCACGACTTAACCCCAGCCTACCTTTCTAGCCTTACCTTTTGTAACTCTCTTCCCAAGATATGCTGAAATGTTTCATTTCTCTAAGCATTGCTCTCCCTTGCTTCCAACCAGACCTTTGCTTTGGAGGATGTGCTACGATCTTAGTCATGCGACTCTTGTGCCGCCCATGAGGTTTTTAGCCTAGACAAGAAGCTGATTTGTGGGCTTGATATTTCACTGAGAACAACTGCTTCTCAGTGTAGGAAATAGTGAAGACTAGGTTGAAAGCATGTGCTCACAACATTTCTGAGACCCCTAGGGTGCCCACGTCCTTGGACAGATGAGTGATTAGGTTTTGGGGATGCTTCAGATACTGAGTCAGGAACTGACTGACAATCTACCTAACTGTTTCCTGCTCAGGTCCGGGCAGCTCCCCCTCCACCTATGCAGAATCACCGAAGGCCAGCAGAGAAGATTGAAGACGTGGAAATCACACTGGTGTGATGATGGGCTTGCCCATCCATTACTGCTACAATCAAGGCCAGGCTTGGAGTTTGGCCAGTCTTGTTTTTAGGCACCTTTGCATGATGATGACTCTTGAACAGAGCAAAAACAAGGATTATTTGTGACTGGGTGACCTGGTAGACTCCTCCCACGTTTTGAATATTTCGTGCCTTTTTTTTGTTGTCATTTTCTATGTCATCTTTCCTACCATAGCACAAATCCTAGCGGACCCTAGGAGCAAAGAGGGGGGCAGCCCTCATGCCTAACAGTGGTCTGTTTTTATATGAGACTCAAGACCAGGCCTCATTCCAGGGCACAGTCCCTAAATTACTGATCATGTGCACTCGTACAGTATATTACTGTGACCGCAAGGATGTGGCAAAGATTCTCATCTTTCTTCAAGTGGGTTTTGCTCATCTGATTGAGAATTAATCAGATCATGTTGGCTACATAAGGAAACAGAAGGAGGGATTTCAGGAGAGGCTGGCTCCTCCCCAAGGTTAGTCCCCAGACTGAGAAAGTGAAACCTTATTGGGAAAAATTGGACTGCCCTGAATTTAGCACCAATTGCATTAACGCATATCTCTTCCACAACTAACAGACTTAAAATAACAGTGTCCTTCGTATTAATATCTGTGCCATTCATTTAGAATTAGCGGAGCTAATATGGAGGGGCTGAACTAGTAGCCACATCTTGTCCATCACATAGACTAATAGAAAGGAGGCTATGGCTAAAGCAGAAATGGAGCTTCCGGATCTGAAATTAGCCAATATAATGTTCTTTTGTATTTGGGTATTTTTCATCTTAATTTTTACAGCATATACTCTTCTTACCAGTATCCTTAGAATCTGAATGTCTAGATAAGTTGAGGACACATACCTGCATTGTTGAGCTTCTCTACTGGGGAGGCCCCTGGCATTATTTTATTCCCAAGCCAGCAGACCGGCCCAGCCAGCCAGGCTGTGGCTATCCCAGACCAACTGCTACGGTGGAAAATGGAGCTTCCAGGTCCCACTACCCTGACATTTCCTTAGAAGGAAGAACCTGGGGGCCCGTGGAGGAAACCAGCTTCCTGTGACAAAGGACTGAAGGATTACACACCCTGCACAAGTACAGATTGACCAGGAAAAGACAAGTGTCTTCTGTGTGTCACAGGGAAAACCAGGAGTGGCCTTCTTTGCAGGCCAGCAAGCCTACAACAGCAGGTGCCCCCGAGTCAGGTACTGACTCTCCGCTGTCCGCTGCTGTAGAAGGTAGGGAGCGCAATACCTGGGGACTATGGGATGTTTGCTGGTTGTGGTTTTGTTTTTTGTTTTCTAGGTTAAGAAATCAAATTTGCAGAATTTAATCTAAAAGTTGCATTATGCTTTGAAAACTCCATCCCTCCTAAGAATCTTAAAAAACTTGAAATGCTCACCAAATGTCCCCATGGGATTTTTGACCAAAAGTAAGGTCATAACTGAAGAAATTTTTAGTTCTTTGATCACTTCAGTGACAATACCCATTGATGAATCTTCTTCATGATTTGGGATTTTTTGTTGTTGTTGTTTTTTACACTTCTTAACCTGTTGATCTATTTGAGGTCTTTTGTGTTTATCAAACTTATTCTTAAGTTTAAAAAAGAAATTAAAAGGGTGGTTTTTTTTTAAGATTTTAAAGTTTGCTAACATATTAAAAAATCTTCAAATGCTTATTAAATAGAGCAGTTCTTGCCACCCAGTCTTCTTGTATTCTCTCTTTAGCTAGCCAAATTGTCCTTGAATTTGGGTTTTCCACAACCTCAGAGGGTTATTTGAAATCTTTTGTTGTATTTTAAAATATTTTTTGGAAGAGCTGCTAATTTTATTTTTAAAAACAAAGTTGTGAAAATATGCCTCCTTTTTAAAAAATAACCCCTCCATCCCGGACATGGAATCCAGCACCACAGTGCACAGGTCAGGGCTCGGAGGGAGCCTCTGTGCAGATGTGTTTTCTTTACAGTGGCTGTAAAAAGTTTGTATTTATTATGTATAAAATGTTGAATAATTTAAAAAATGGAATTATATTTTCTAAGATTTAATATAGAAAGACTTGGGTAAACAGACCTTTCCAAAAAGCCCATGCTTCTTATAAAGACATTCCTGGGCCCTCCTTTAAACCAGCTAACAGACAGAGAGAGGAGAAAGTAAATTAATCCATCCATGATACAGTCCCTGAAGCCACCCATGTGCTAGGTGTAATATCCTGGGTACTAGAGATGGTAGTAAATAGGTTACGGTCTTTGCTTTTCCCATGGGAAAAGAAAAAGAAATACGTGAGGACAGTACTGTGGGACATGTGCTAGAAGGGAGGGGCAGATAGCATAGAGGCAGCTGAGGAGGGAGCTCTGATTCTGCTGCTGGAGGGGTGAGAGGAAGGTCATTGAAGTCCCCTTGCCGGATGTGACCGCTGGCTTCCAGGAAGTGGGCATTCTGAATGCCTCTCCCCTTTCCTAAACCTCCACCCTAAGGAGTAATGAATTGTGTGAAAGGAGATTTTCTCAGTCTCATGGGTGGATGGAGCATTCTTAGTTAAAGGCTAAGTCCCTCTGGCTTCCAGCCAGCCACACCGAGAACCAGGACACAGCCTGTTTGGGGAAGGGCTCCACAAGCTCTCCTCTTTCCCGGAGCAGAGGACGTGCAGTAAGTATTTTTCCAGACATTTTCCTGTGCATAAGACTCTTAAGTGTACACATTGCTTGTTTACATAAAAATGTGTTCAGCCAGGCACAGTGGGTCATGCCTGTAATCCCAGCACTTTGAGAGGCCAAGGTGGGCAGATCGCCTGAGGTCAAAAGTTTGAGACCAGCCTAACCAACATGGAGAAACCCCGTCTCTACCGAAAATACAAAATCGGCCAGGCATGGTGGCTCGTGCCTGTAATCCCAGCTACTCGAGAGGCTGAGGCAGGAGAATCGCTTGAACGTGGGAGGCAGAGGTTGCGGTGAGCTGAGATTGCACCATTGCACTCCAATCTGGGGAACAAGAGTGAAATTCTGTCTCCAGAGAAAAAAAAAAAAAAAAAATGTGGTCCAGTATAAATGTTGGGCAGATTCCTAAGTGTGGATTTTGAGAGTCAAAAAGGTATGTATTTAATTGTGTTAGATTTTGCCCAAATTGGCCTCCTATAAGGACTATATCCATTTATACTCCCACCAACTGCATATGGACTTGGGAGCCAGGAGGTCTGGGTTAAATCCTGGCCCTGGCACTTGACAGCCATGGGGACTGAGCCTGTGTCCTCATCTGGAACCTGAGAATAAGACTGTGGCTCCAGGAAGCCATATAAAGTGTGTGGCACAGGCTGGTCACCACAAACTCTTCTTACTACCACCTCTCCTGCCTCTTCTCAGTGTCCTTCCCTTCAGAACTAAGGTTCTTGATAGTCTTCCAGGCCCACAGTAACACACAGGGTGTCATAAGGCCCAAGGGAAAGAATGTGTGTGAAGTACTCTACCAAAAATGTTGAGAAGGGCTGTCAGGACACAAAATGTCATTTCCATCTTCTGACTTCGCTGCCAGTGAAAGCTGCTTTCGGTACTGGAAGCTCCATCTGTGACCAAGGGCAAAGCTTAGCTAACTGCTTCACCCCAGCGTCATAGCTAAATTTTGGTCTCCATGACAGGAACTGACTTGATGCATGATGCAGTCAGGCCACAGGTTCTCAGCACACCAACTAGTTCCCCTTCCTCTCTGACCTACCACCCCAGCCACATTCACAAGCCAGAGACCCAGTGGGAGGGCATCATCTGGCCTTAGCCCTGCCACTGCTTGATGGAAGACCTTTCTCTCTAAGGTACCACATCCTCAATTTTGAAAGGAATGGAATGATGGTTGGGCACAGTGGCTCACACCTGTAATCCCAGCACTTTGGAAGGCCAAGGCTGGTGGATCACCTGAGGTCAGGAGTTTGACACCAGCCTGACCAACGTAGTGAAACCCCGTCTATACTGAACATACAAAAATTAGCCAGGCGTGGTGGCAGGTGCCTGTAATCCCAGCTACTAGGGAGGCTGAGGCAGGAGAATTGCTGGAACCAGGGAGGCAGAGGTAGTGAGCCAAGAGCATACCACTGCACTCTAGACTGGGTGACAGAGCAAGACTCTGTCTCAAAAAAAAAAAAAAAAAAGGAATGGAATGAGGTGATCTCCAAGGGCTTATCTAATTCGCATGCCCTGGATGAGTTCAGTTTCTAGACACAGAGAACATCACACAAAAAAGGTCACAATATTTGAAATCAGACTTACTAATACACAGACTTCTTTGGATGGCAAGAAATTGAAAAGAAAACAGCCACTGGACTCTCCCACTGGGAACTCGGACAAAATAAACCGCTATCCTCTAGGTTGCAACTGCATTCCAGGCTGCTGTATCCACTCACTGCCTGAAGAACCCAGCCGCAGCTTTTGGTTTTGTGGCCAATGACTGCCCAGCCCTCTCCCAGTGGCCTTAGGATGAAATCCAGCTGCTCTGAATCTTCGCATGTATTTTGTTCATTGTGAAGTTGTTTTCCATGACAGAAATATAACTAAATTACAGAAATTTTAGGTCAGAAGGGGGAGGATTGTAATTTATCCCCAAATCCTGTAACTTTTAAGTTTCCTCCTAGAATCTTCCTGTGTTTGCCTTGTTACTGCTCGATCTGCCAAGAACCAAATGAATGCCAAAGAGCATCTTGTTCCTAGACTGTTTTCCCTCAGTCCCAGAGGCCAAAAAACACACTCTTGCCATGTCTGTTTCTGAGAGCTCTGGTCTGGGAATCTTTTCCTGAAAAACTTTTTTTTTTGAGACGGAGTTTCGCTCGTCACCCAGGCTGGTGTGCGACGGCGCAATCTCGGCTCACTGCAACCTCTGCCTCCTGGGTTCAAGTGATTCTCCTGGGTTCAAGCGATTCTCCTGCCTCAGCTTCTCAGGTAGCTGGGATTACAGGCATGTGCCACCACACCCGGCTAATTTTTTTGTATTATTAGTAGAGACGGGGTTTCACCATGTTGGCCAGGCTGGTCTCGAACTCCTGACCTCAGGTGATCCACCTGCCCCGCCCTCCCAAAGTGCTGGAATTACAGGCATGAGCCACTGCTCCCAGCCTTTCCTGGAATGTTTTATGCTGAAACATAACAGAAATGAACCCAGGGACAGGGCTCACAGCCCTTCTACACTGCGCATAGAACTCACTCTTCACCACTTGCTCCTGTGAGGAACAGAAGAGAGCACAGCCAAAGGAAATGTATTCCAATCCCCAGCCCACCTCAGATTAGCTGTGACTTCAGGCTCATCCCTTCACCTTCTGGACCCTGCTTTCCTCATCTGTAAAGTAGGAACAAGTAGATAGTACAAACTTCTAAGATCCAGGAGGGTGAAATAGGGTAATGTACAGATAAGCTGAAAATGTTTGTGATGAGTGAATGTGCCTCCAGTGGAAAAGCCTATATGCAGGCATGGATATGTCTGAATCTCACAGATGGGTCCACATCTGATGGTGTCAGATCTCTCCAGAGACCACCTCTATTCAATTCAGCAAACATGCTGCTGCAGGTCACGTTCAGATCTCTGGAGCCTTGTCACTGAGGGGCTTGCATCTGGCAGGAGAGATTCAGGGCAACAGCAGAATGAAGCCAGAGACTGAAAGATGACCAAGGGGCAGTAGGAGCACAGGATAAGGGCATCTGTCATTTCTCCCTCCCTGGGGTCTCAGGCTCACTAAGACCTGAGATTGGGCAGGGCAGGCAGAGGCCATGGTCCTCATGCCTACAGAACAGCTCTGCAGAAGAGCCGTGTCGCCTTTGGGGAGGCTTGGGGCAGGAAGTTTCACAGGTGGGGAATATGAGAGCCTGCCCAAGATCTCCCAGGAAGACAGAACTGGAGAGCCCAGAACTAGGCCTCCAGAAGCCCTGGTCAGCCTCTTTGAAGAATCTGAATCCAGTTTTTAGAAAAGTGGGCATCAGAGGCCTGGGTTCTTACCCAGCTCTGCTATGTGAGCCAAGGGAGCTGCCCCATTTCTGGGCCTCAGTTTTTATACCCATGAGTGCGGGCCATTCCAGATTTGACCTAGGCACCCGAATTCAGGCAGGCAGCCCCTGAGCACCAGAGTCCTGAAAACCTGAGCACTGACTGCTGAGAGCCTGGAGGAGCTGTCAGCATCCATTTCCACCCCTCTGCTGAACGGGACTGAAGAGACTGGAGGGAGGAACAGCCTTCCTGCTGACATGACCCTCTGAACTCCTCTGCTCAGTCTGTGAGCTCCTCTTCCTCCTGCCTACCGGGAACTCCTTGGCCTGTTTCTGGCCTTACGGACTTGTTCCTCCAGGAATCACCCGTCCTACTGGGAGGGGGACCTCCAAGCAAGTTAAGGTGAACATGTGCTCCTTGAGAGAGGCAACTCCACCCGACAGCAGCTGCGTGTGTGGTAAGATTGACGCCCCTAAGGTATAAGGGAAGGCTTTGGTGGAGCCGAGGGATCACCGTCCCAGAGATCAGTCAGACCATTTCCTGAGCACCTCCTCTGGGCTCTCTAAGCACAGTCTCCACTGCAACCCTGTGAAATGGGGGAGAAACACAATGGCACAGCTGGCCTCCCAGGATTCAAGTTCCCTCACTCCCGTGTCCCTGCATGTCCCTCACTTCAAGGGATACTAACTGTCCAGGCTCAGGACCCAGAATAGAAAAGGGCAAAGATGCAGGGAGGGAGTCAGGTTAGACACAAGGCTAGCATCACACCTCTACCCCCGTGGTGTCAGGCAGGGGGCATGCCCTGGGGGAGGGGGCATGCCCTGCAGCCCTGCCTAATTGGGAATCTGAACACCTTGCTTTAAAAAGAGTGTGTGTAATGCAGCCACAGTCCAGCTGCAGGGCCTGAGCTCAGTTTTCTCACCTGGGAAACATGGTATCTACATGGCAATGCAGTTGGGAGGAACAAATAACGCTGCAAAAAGGGTGCAGGGCAGGGCCTGGCATCTCCTAAGGGCTCAGTCACGGTGGCTGTAGGAGTGTCGGTCTCCCCAGCTGTGTGTCCCTGGAAATTGGAATG